GGTTTCGTGTGTGATAACATCGTAAGGAATATCTTTAGATCTAATGAACGAATTACGATGAGTTTGGGCTCCTTTCAATCGGGAGAATTTTCTGAAAATAATGGCGTGCAATTTTCCATGATCTATGCATGTTTCATGAAGTTACGAATAAAAACGCAACATGAAGCATAGAGCTGTTTTTCTTTGCAGCGCCTCAGCGCGCCTGTCTGCTTTCATGTGTTACAGCTCTATGATCTAAATCTTTCCATCTGATCGACGGATTATGGTAAATTTGGGCTCTTTTTAATCTGGAGAATTTTCTGAATATAATGATGTGCGTTTTTCAAGATCTATGCATGTCTCGTGAAGTTACTAGCTAAAACGGCACAGGACTGCAACCTCTATTTTTTATTTTTTTTGCTAAGCTATATGTCCTAATTCTTTTCTATGTGTTATAGCTCTATGAGTGATATCTTTAGATCTGAACGATGTATTATGGTGAGTTTGGGCTCTATTTAATGGGAGAATTTTCTGCAAATAATGACATGCCGTTTTCTATGATACATGTATGTTTCATGAAGTTACGAGCGAAATCGTCACATGACAGCTACCTTAGATTTTCTTTGGCTAAACTACATGCCGCCTGTGCAGTTGTATGTGTGTTATAAATACATGAGGAAAATATTTAGATATAAATGACAGATTCGTTTTGGGCTCTTTTTAATCAGGAGAATCTGCTCTAAATAATAGTGCCTAGTTTTATTTGTTTAATGAAATTATAAATGTTTTATGAAGTTACAAGTAAAACGGTGACATCAATATATTATTTTCTTATGGGTCTGGGGGTGACTTCTTGAACAAAAACTTGCTCCAGTTTATTCAAAGCCCCCAAACAATTATGCTTGTTTTATTCTACTCGATGAGACCTTTCAAATGACATATGACACATGACTATCTGAGCTGTATGATGTTTTTGACATGGCACAAAAAAAACATATTTTGTAAATTATGATTTTTTTTTTGTCATTTATCAGCAAATAACTTGGCACTACTTTGGAGTTAATCAAAGTGGCTACATGCATTGTAAAGCTCAGACTCTAAGCTTTCAAATTATATTCATTTTTTGATATCAAGGCAGTGGTTTGAAAAATATGATTAGTAATATTCTCGGGGGGGTTGTCCCGCCCGCGGTACACTTCGGTTTATAGGGACTGCTCAGCGCTCGTTAAGAGTTAAGAGATATCTTCATTAAAAAGATGAGATTCTAAGCTTTAAATGATACCTATTATGTGTTATTCCATTCAGGGGTTGCTTAGTAATTAGATTTTTTTTTTTTTTTTCATGCGGGAGGTGTCCCGCCGGAGGGTTATAAAGGGTTAATAACACACACCTAACTGCGATACAAATGTTTGGTCAAACCGCCCAGCACTAATCTGCAGATTATAATGTGGCGTTTTAAGCATCTTTAGCAGGAGATAGAAGTAATGAGCACAGAGCGGAAAGAGTGAATATAATATAACACCGAAAAAATCATTACCATAAATGACTCTAAGCACTTGTCTACATCTCTGTTGTTGTGACGAACTGTAGAAACTGTAGCATGGTGTTGCCATTGTTATTATGTCTTGTGGTCCGGTTAGAACCAAGCCAAATTTCAACTGCCCTACTTGTGCACTCCCGTGACGTCATTTAATGAAATCGCTGCAGCCAAATGAATATGTTTCTGATGCCCTTTCCTTTTCATTTAAAGAGGTCATATGATGCTGCTAAAAAGAACATTATTTTGTGTATTTGGTGTAATGAAATGTGTTTATGCGGTTTAAGGTTAAAAAAACACATTATTTTCCACATACTGTACATTATTGTTTCTCCTCTATGCCCCGCCTTTCTGAAACGCGTCGGTCTGAAAAGCGAGGTGTGCTGTGATTGGCCAACTATCCAGTGCGTTGTGACTGGCCGAATACCTCAAGCGTGTGACAGAAATGTTACGCCCCTATCATA